GGGCTCAAATAATGCGTCCAAAAACACGACTGGCATCATCTCCGGTACTACCCCATCTCCTTTCTTTTCTCGGGCCAGTGATTCCAATTGGAACAGTGGACGCGGTCGCAGACAGAGGCCTCGTTGCAATTATTGCCAGAATCTTGGGCATTTTGAAGAACGCTGCTATAGGAAGTACCCTCATTTGAAGCCACCGTCTGCCAAGTTTGCTCAAACTGATGTTACGCCACCTTCAACTGGATTAGTAACTCTTTCAAGTGCCGACTATGAGGCACTTCTCAAGAAGGTTTCTTCTCAGCATCCTACTCAAGACACTGGTAATCATGTTGCTTGTTTTTATCAATCATCTCTTGGACCCTGGATAATAGACTCAGGTGCTACTCATCATCTTTGTGGTAATAAAGATCTCTTCACTTCACTTTCTTATTCTAATAACCTACCCCCTGTCACTCTTGCTGATGGCACTAAGGCTCCTGCTCGTGGAATTGGGGAAGCCAACCCAACTCCCCTTTTAACTTTGACTTCTGTTTATTATATACCTGGCATTCCTTTTAATATAATCTCTGTTAGCCAGTTGATTCATTCTCTTTCATGTACTATTACCTTCTCTAAACAATCCTTTTCTATGCAGGATTCGGGTACGGGGAGGACGATTGGAGCAGGCGTTGAGTCACAAGGTCTCTACTATCTGATTGCACCACCTTCTCCAGTAGCCTGTTCTCTCACAGAGTCTCCTGAGCTAATTCACAGCCGTCTGGGTCATCCAAACCTCTCCAAGCTTCAGCATATGGTTCCCTTTTTATCCGATCTTAAGTCTTTAAACTGTCATTCTTGTCAGCAAGGAAAACACACTCGCTCCTCCTTTGCTAATAGAGTCAATAAAAGAGCTGATGCTCCTTTTTCTATTGTTCATTCTGATATTTGGGGTCCGAGTCGAACAACGTCTGTTTTGGGTTTTCAGTATTTTGTCACCTTTATTGATGATTTCTCCCGTTGCACTTGGGTTTATTTAATGAAAAATCGTTCTGAGTTATTTTCAATTTATCAAAAGTTTTGTGCAGAAATAAAAACTCAATTTGGTGCTTCTATTCAAATCTTGGTCAGTGATAATGCAAAAGAGTATGTGTCTCTTGAATTTTCTAAATTTCTGGATACACAAGGGACGATACACCAGACTACCTGTCCCCACACTCCACAACAAAATGGAGTCGCTGAACGTAAAAATAGACATCTAGTTGAAACTGCACGTACCCTTCTCATTCATATGAACGTCCCACTCCGTTTTTGGGCAGATGCTATTATCACCTCATGTTTCCTTATCAACCGCATGCCCTCTTCTGTGCTAAATAATGATGTTCCCCGCAGTATTTTGTTTTCCGGAGCACCTTCTTATCCTCTGCCTTTACATATTTTTGGCTGTACTTGTTTTGTTCATGATCTTACTCCAGGTAAAGACAAGTTGACATCCAAGGCCTTCAAATGTATTTTCCTTGGGTATAACGTTTTCAAAAAGGGTATCGTTGCTATTCTCCTGACCTCAAGCGTTATATCGTTTCTGCTGATGTCACTTTCCTTGATCAGCAGCCTTTTCACTCTACTCCGTCTCCAGTGTCCCAAGTTGATCAGGTCCTTCCTGTTCCTTTTATTGACTTGTCTTTACCAGCTGCAGGTGACCCTATTCCAGAGGAGCAACCAATTACCTCCATATCTGCAGATCGTCCTCTCCTCACATACCAGCGTCGTCAGCCTGCACCTCCTCCGACTTTGCCTCTTGATGACTCATCGCCCTTTCCCGTCGGCTCTTCTCCTCCGGATCCTCCATCAGAGACTCCTCCTATTGCCTTTCGGAAAGGTATTCGATCCACTCAAAATCCTCATCCCCTTTATTCTTTCTTGAGTTATGACAGACTTTCTTCACAACATTTTACTTTTGTTTCTAGTCTCTCTTCTGTTTCCATCCCTAAAACCACAGGTGAAGCACTATCTCATCCAGGGTGGCGCCAGGCGATGCTTGATGAAATGCAGGCACTTCACTCCAATGGCACTTGGGATCTTGTTCGTGCTCCTCCCGGGAAGTCTGTTGTTGGTTGTCGATGGGTGTTCACAGTTAAAGTTGGTCCTGATGGCACTGTTGATCGCCTTAAAGCTCGCTTAGTGGCCAACGGATACACACAGATCTTTGGTCTTGATTATGGGGATACCTTTTCTCCTGTTGCTAAGATGGCTTCTGTTCGCCTGTTTCTTGCCCTTGCCGCCATTCATCACTGGCCCCTTCTCCAACTTGATATTAAGAATGTTTTTCTACATGGTGACTTGCAGGAGGAAGTTTATATGGAGCAACCACCAGGTTTTGTTGCTCAGGGGGAGAGTTCTGGAATGATATGTAAACTTCGGAAATCTTTATATGGCCTGAAGCAATCTCCTCGGGCCTGGTTTAGCCGTTTTAGTTCAGTTGTTGAATCCTTTGGATTAATCAGAAGCAAAGCCGATCATTCTGTCTTTTACCGGCGTAGCTCTTCTGGCCAGTGTGTTTATCTCCTGGTCTATGTTGATGACATTATCATTACAGGCAGTGATCAGACCGGGATTGATCAGTTGAAAGAGCATTTATTCAATCAATTTCAGACCAAAGATCTTGGCAGACTTCGATATTTCTTGGGGATCGAAGTTGCACAGTCTAGGCGGGGCATTTCCATCTGTCAGAGGAAGTATGCACTGGATATCCTAGATGAAACTGGCATGTTAGGCTGTAAACCCATTGATACACCTATGGACCCCAATGTTAAGTTATTACCAGGACAGGGGGAGCCACTGCCAGATCCTAGTCGCTACCGCCGACTAGTTGGAAAATTGAATTATCTTACTGTGACAAGGCCAGATATCTCCTTCGCAGTGAGTGTTGCAAGTCAATTTCTTGATTCTCCCTGTGACTCCCATTGGGATGCAGTTATTAGAATTCTCCGATATATTAAAAAGGCGCCAGGAAGAGGTTTATTATATACAAATAAAGGGAGTTCAGAGATCTCTAGTTATTCAGATGCTGACTGGGCAGGTTCTCCTTCAGATAGACGATCCACCTAAGGGTATTGTGTTCTCTTCGGAGGAAATTTGATCTCTTGGAAGAGTAAGAAGCAAATTGTGGTCGCCAGATCCAGTGCGGAGGCAGAATATCGGGCAATGGCAAATGCAACCTGTGAGCTCATCTGGCTGAGTCAATTGCTGAAGGAACTTCATCTCTGTGAACAAAGGCCTATGAAGCTCATTTGTGACAACCAAGCCGCTTTGCATATATCCTCTAACCCAGTCTTTCATGAGAGGACCAAGCATATAGAAATTGACTATCATTTTGTTAGAGAAAAGATCCAGTAAAGGGAGATCGAGACAGCATTTGTCAATTCCAATGATCAACTTGCGGATGTATTCACTAAAGCTCTTAGAGGTCCCCGAATAGATCATATTTGTAACAAGCTGGGAGCTTTTGATATATACGCACCAGCTTGAGGGGGAGTGTTAGAAATAATATTAATTTATTATTATTAGAATAGTCTAGATTGTGGGCTTGGCCCATTAGGTCATCCCATTAGGTCTTTTAGTCTCTATAAATAGAGAGCCTCATTGTACAGACTTACACACTTGAATATACAATATATTTCAGATTCAATTCTTTTGATAAAAAAATTTATCCCAAGGTTCTTTACATGGTATCAGAGCCTCGCCATCCCCCACTTTCTCTCGTGGCGTTTCTTAGCACAGGTATGTTGGGCCTGTTGCATTGTCCACTCTTCAAGCCCAATGGGCTCTCGTGTGAGGGAGCGTGTTGAGATATATAGTCCCACATTGGTTGTATGTGCAACTAATGTGGAGTTTATAAGGTCTTGGGCACTCCCACCTTTTGAGCTAGCTTTTGGGGTGGTGTATCCCAAGGTTGTGTGTAGGTGGAATTATTGGTAAGGAGTTTGGGGGAATATATTCAGAAAATGAGGAAGAAGAAGAAGTGGAAGAGAGATCAGGAGAAGACTGCACTGTTTGGGCAGGAAAAGGGCTGTGAAAAGAAGAAGAAGAAGAGGAAACAGATTGAGAGGTGGACTGCAAAGGAGAGCTCAATGGTGATTGAGACTGTACAGGAGACAAAGTGTGAGTAGTGGGAGTAGAGGAAGGAGGAGACACAAGAGGAATGTGAGCAGAAATAGGAAGGATTGGAGGAGTGGGACTAATTCTTGTGTCAGTCCAAGAATGATAAGGAAATTTATATTCATTGAATAAAACATCCTTGGAGATATAAACTGTACCCTCTCTACTTAAACAAATATAACCTTTGTGATTTGTGGAGTGGCCAAGGAACAAGCATTCTTGAGAACGAAACTCAAGTTTGTATCTATTGTAAGGTCTCAAAAATGGAAAACATGCACACCCAAAGGTTTTAAGAAACTGATAGTTGGGCTTTTGATTAAACAATTTTGTGTAAGGAACATCAAAATGTAAAGAAGCAGTGGGCAATCTGTTTATTAAGTACATCAAAATGTGGAGCACAAAGATGGATCAGGCCCTCAGAAAGAGAGCTCTGATACCATGTTTGAGTTCTTGAGAGAATCCATAGATGAGAGAAAGAGAGAGAGAAGAGAGAGAATGTATGAATTGTATTATGTAATCTGAATGTACAGTGTGCACTCTATCAATATATATATAGAGTGATGATCTAACTAATTGACAGCTAACACCTAACAGATCTGTAACAAACTGTATAGGAAAGTATCTGATACATGCGGGTACATTTAAAGAAGCTACAGCTATATATATCTAATATTTACAATATAATCTAGAGGAGCAAAACAAATATACTAATAAAAAAATATTAGATTACTTTTGTCATATCGCTCTCATAGATGACTTACTTAACTTCTGCTTATTTAAGCAACGAACAAAAATTATCCAGCATAAAACATGCTATAAACCCTACATTATTTGGTTAAAAAAAGTTTTAAACTAAAAAATAACAGTACCTTCCATCAAGCCGTTTGTAGGTCAACCCAATGACATCCAAAGTCCACTCCAATATGTCAAGCATAGATGTCCATTGACTAAAGATCAACACACGATGACCACCCTCCTTTAGTGATGGAAGAAGTTCTGATAAGGCCTACAGTATCCAGGGAGTAGCTTATTCTCAGCATACCCAGCAAATAATCAAGCAGCCACTGTATAGATAACAATTACAGAATATTTAGAGTCAAAAAAATCATACCCGACATTTTGCAGAAAGCATAACATGCTTATCCGGAAGGATTCCCTTTCTATCATTGACACCATAATGAAGTAAAAGCTGCAAATAAAAAATTCACAGCTTGAAATTTAAGCCAATACTATACATAAAGCAGAAACAACAATCATCCACAAAATAAAGTTTTTTAATTATAATCCACCCTAAAAAATTGTATTAATGAAACAGTACTAAACTCTACCTCACTAGAATGATGAGAAAACACTAGAGTGATGAGCAACATAAGAGGTATTATGCCAAAAACCCGACAAAGGAATTGTAGAATACTAATAAAACAGTAACCAGCAAACCTACTACAACTGAACATGGGAAGTTATAGCTAGAAACTAACCATAAATAACCAAAAAACAAAAAATCACTCCCCGTTAAACCCGACTAGCGAGTGTGGGGTGGAGGTAATCCTTGTACGCAGCCTTACCCTTACATAATTGCAAAGAGGTTATTTCCTGGATTCAAACCCATGACCTTAGAAACTAACCATACTTTGAAAAAAAAATTGATCAGTTTGTACAATTGGTTTGGTTTATGTAAATAAAGGCCAGTGCAAGTGTGAAAACAGTTGATTTATTTGCTTTATTTAAAGAGTAAACACCCTTTTTGGTCCCTGGCAATATCTACGAAATCCTTTTTAGTCCCTGACAATAAAAAAGGACCAAATTGGTCCCTAAAATTATGAAAAAAGGGCCACGTTAGTCCTTATGTCAACTCCTCTGTCACTAACGTGGCCCTTTTTACATACTGTTAGGGACCAATTTGGTCCTTTTTTATTGCCAGGGACTAAAAAGGATTTCGTAGATATTGCCAGGGACCAAAAAGGGTGTTTACTCTTATTTAAATATACAGTTACTCTGTATTGATTGTGGTGATTGAGGAGGATGGGTAAAGTGGTAAACTAAATAAAAATGGAATTTTTTTTGCAATTAGTTAGTATAAGAATCAACATCTTCTGAGGTTTGTCTCTCATCCAACCAAACCCGCCAATGTTCGATGCCCTTAATATGGTCAGTCGTTGAAGTCTCCCATGCAGGAGGGATGCACTGCCATGCACCAGTCATCAAATTCTGCATGTTCAACCTTCCACAAGCAATGTGGGAGCACAACAGCACGTTCAGCCCCTTGTCCAACCACTGTCATCTAGACCCCTTGTCTCTGTTCGCTACCTTCCCATAGCTGTATGTCTCTATTAGGCTGTGTTTTGCTGTGTATAACACTCAGAGAGGGCGTGTTCTCTCTCTATGTATTAGGTTTAACGTGTTTGATTGCTTCATGGCATTCTTTGTGGTGGTTATCTCTAGTTTGTCGTTATTTTGGCTACTATTTGGCTCTTTTCCAATCCCAACATAGCAGGGGTGAGTTAGAATAATAAAGTTACATATTTCCTTGCTGATAACTAGTCTGACGATGATACCAATGGTAACTTTTCATCTCATTGATGATCATTCTGATACGGACTTATATTGGCTACAACTCACACTAGTCCTATCTTTGTCATAGATGCAGTCTGGCCCTTGTCTTTGTCCCAAATACTTTCTGGCCAGTCTCCAATCTCAAATTTAAGTCTAGCCCATTGGCGTGCATCCAGTAGGAATTGAACCTACGAATTCGCCAACTTGTCTCGAGTCACAAACGACATCACTTACCACTTTGTTATATATTTCATTTATTTTCTTTTAACGTGTTTAACTATGACAAGCTTAAAGCTTAGTAAAATTGCTTGAGGGGGGATGTTACAATATCTAGAAAATATTTCATAATATCATTATATCTTAGAATATTTAAGAGTCTCTTAGATGATCTCTTGGGGGTGATTTTTATATTCAATTAGAATTCATGTTTTGTTTCCTTAATTAATTAGGATCACGAGTCTAGCATTAGCACAAATAAGGGTTAGTGCATTATCTTTTGTAACAAAGCATTACATGCCATATATCAACATTATATTCTATTCATAGTTTGTCCTCTCTTTTCCTCCTCTACCTAAATCCATATAATTTCAACACTCGCAATAACAATTTTCTATTTTTTTTCCTGGTTTCTAACCACAAGACCAGCCCTTTGAAGTTGCCTCAGATTCCCCTGCCCATTTGCCACCTTTTTTCTCTTGAGCTAAAATTTAGCCCTAGGGTTTTTTTGTTCAACAGCAAGATCATGTTTATGACTTCTATTTTGTTCTCTGCTCATGGTCGTTTCTATCACAGTATGTGCAGAGAGATTGCATAATTTTAAGGAGCATTTCTCCCCCTTTCCCTTATGCATTTTCTTTCCCTTGTTAATAATCTTCTTTTATATTACAAGTAAAAACAAAGAAGATAGATCTCAAACTATTTTTGCTTCTTGTTTTCAGTTTTGCACTCCTCTTGGTATATCTCCAAATATGCTTCACGCAAAGTTATCAAATGCAGATTGCGGCGTGTTGCGGCCAACCCCAAAAAGCGCTATAGCGGGTTGCAGTTACGGAAATAGCGGAATTGATTTATGACATAAATAATGACAAAAAAAAAAAATTTAAAGGCAAATATAGCAGAAGTGATAGAGAGATGCAGATATACTAAAAAACCCTTAAAAATTTTCTGTTATACATTTAAATTTAGGACAAAATTGACATTTTGCCTTATGACAGCAATATGGACGCAAATGCGATCGCAATGACCGCTATTGCGTTCAGGTGCGGCGCGGTTTCTTGCGGCAAGACACCGCAACGCCCATACGGCGCAGCTCTCGGCGCTATTGTGACGCAATTAACTACTATGGCTTCACAACAAAATATCAAATCATTTATTAGTTGAACCTTTAAGATATGAAAGCAGAAAGCATATTTTAACTCTTATAAGATTCATAAGCCAAAAGTCCAAAACCACTTCCACTTCGAATTCAAACAAAAATAATATGTTAAATATATAGTTGTCAAACTTTGATAGTAGCATGGAGGAACCAACCCCAAAACCGCTATAGTCAATGTTGTTAAAACGTAGAGTCTACGTAGAAACGGTAGGGGTGAATAAAAAACGTAAAATCGTGAAACGTAAACAAAACGTAAGAGTTTACTATGTATCAAAGAAAATTATAATTAATATATATATAGATATATATAAATCAATATTAAATTTAATTAAAAACTTCAAATTATTAATAATGCATTTAACAATTAATTTTTATTAATTATATAAAAAAATTAACCTCTTAATTCAAATAAAAAAATAGAAAAGTGTAAATAAAAAATTTAATTTAATTGAAAACAAAATTTAAATTTAAATAATAATAATAATAAAGAATAGCAAGGGATAAGATTTTAAATTTGTGTAAAATGGTATATGAAAAGTCATCTCCTTTGTCAGTTTTTATCTTTGTGGCTTATTTAAAATATTTTATCTATCTGACTCTTTTTTACAAGGTCCAATGCCCTTTTATCAAAAAGTCTTTTCCTCTTCTCTTTCTTTCTCTCTCTCTCTCGCTCGATCCAATGCCCTTTTATCAAAAAGTCTTTTCCTCTTCTCTCTCTCTCTGGGTATTTTTGCGAAAGATCTGAAGCACAAGGATTTGCAAGCAGAAGTGAAGGAGGAGGAGGTCTCGTGAGTATCGGAAGAGAGCGCAAAACCTTTTTCTTGACGCCTTTGTTTGCTGCGGCCGAAGGAGGAGAAGGCTGTGCAGCGGCGGTGGAGGATAGACGTAAGCGGCGGAGACAGGCGCAGCGTGAGCGGCGATGAGACCAAGAACACAGAGAAGAGCAGCGAGGATGACAACAAAGTCAGAGTCAACGACGGCGGAATCTCCTCCTCCCCCTCTTATCTGATTTTTTTAAAAAACTGAGTTGACTCGGTAAACTCGCCGAGGCAACCGAGTTGACTCGTCGTTTCAATCGAGTCAGCTCAGTTTCCATTTAAACTAACGTTTCAACACGATTTTGGAACAAAAAAGTAAACTCGGCCGTTTCTACCGAGTTGACTCGACGTTTTAACAACACTGGCTATAGTGGATAGCAAGATGGTCACCATATTAAAAATAATGTGCATAATTTATACTACACACATACTCAAAAATAAAATAATATCAAAAGATATATTCAGCATTACTAATCAAAAGTCATAGTCTAAACACATAATTACCATTAATCTAAAATGTATAAGTAACAAGTCAACAACAAGAGTCAAGGAGCACAAGCAACAAAAAATAAAAGAGAGGAAAAAAAAGGTGCTCAAAGAGCATAGATTTGCATTTTGGCTGCTGGATTTTGAAAAGGTAAGGAAAACTAACCCTAAAGAGGTTCTGAAGAAGAAAGCATAAGAAATCCTAACATTAACCTTACAAAAAGGCTGGCCAATGAAGAAACGGAGTAGGTAAAATGGTTTTTTTCCCATTGTTGTAGTTGCGGCTATGACAGCCATGAATTGACCACAAAACATCCGCAATCTCATCTGCAATTGCCACTCCAAAAAACATGTTCAAACAGGTCAGCTGTAGCAGCCAGCTGCTGTGACAACACATCCGCGCAATAGCCTCTATCTCATGCTATTGACAACTATGGTTAACTAAAGCTGGAACTTCAATCCAACAAACAACCCCATACTATAGGGAAAAAAATCTAACTTACTATGTGAGCATATTGGGGAAAGCCAAACATGGGGATGGTCAGTGACAAAAAGCACTGTCTTGGGTAAAAGATTTACCCGGTGAATAGAGAAGTCATTGTAACTTTTAAGTTCCTCTGTAACTCTGTCCAAAGTACATTCAAAGCCAAAAGCACCTACAGGGTGTAGCTTCCGAGCAAAGCGAATGACATCCTCATCATTATAGATTCTCCTTATCAACAAGGGATGGTTTGCAATCTGGAATTGGAATACAGAAATATATAACAAATAAAAGAGCTATAAGAATCCAAAAAAAAAGAAGCAAATTTTAAGTCAAAATATAAATATGTAATATAAAGAACCTTGCGAAACTGGACAAAATAGTTATTTATCTGTCGTCGAGGAATAACTCCAAGAATATTATTTGAGTTAAGGCCAGAGCATTTCGCTATCCGAGCTTGTGAAACAGCACGATACTCCTCAATGGCTTCCTTGTAAGCATTTTCCTGTTGCTTTTCCATTACCACATATTCAACCTGCAGTAACAAATATAACCCAATAGCTTTTAAAGTTTAAAGTATATAGCAAGCTTATTATAAAATCAAATAAAAAGAAGGATATGTTGAAAATGAAGAGTATAATAACTCAATGAAATCAGCACAAAACATACCTTCTGTATTTTTGGAACAAGCTGCTGCATCACATCAGCTTTCAAACGCCGCAAAATAAATGGTCCCAAGATGGACTTCATACGACCAATCAAATCTCTATCTTCAGCATTTAGTAACTTTTTTAAGTCAACATCTTCAGTAGCAAAAATATCAGGCATCATAAACTCCAACAATGACCATAACTCCTGCAACAAATTCATAACAAGGCTCACTTCAGGAAATACATTTATAACGATAGTAGCAAAATCAACATGTGGAGATGAGAGAGATTTTGTTCAAGATTCAAGTACATTATTGGCACAGAAAAATAAAGACAAGATGTATCCCTTTCTTTGCCCTGATTGTCAGTGTTTTTCCATAAGCCTATTAGACACTTCTAAGCTGTTTCTTGCAAGTTGTATATTTGCATATATTTTTTTCAAAATGAACATTACAATATATATATATATATATATATATATATATAAATGGGACTTCACAATTTCCCAACCTTCATTGATCATATGATAATAATACATTGGCCTTGGGATTGACAATCTACATCCAACAGTAATAATCAACAAGGATACAACAGCTTTGTGAGCCTGAGTTCTAATAAGTTAATATATAATTTTCTAATTTCATAAACTGTCATGTTTATAAATTAATCTTTTAGGCAAGCAGTCCTGTTAGGCATACAGCAGGGGAGTAAGGCCCATAATGCACATGACCACCACATGGGCACCCGGAAACTAAGGGGAATATGTTACAGCACTGGGTTGAGTAAATAGAGTTTTGAAGAAAATATTGATAGACAAGGCATAAGACAGAACTGAACAAGTGTTATTTACTGAATGAAGCAGAGTTTACAAGAGGAAAACCTCTTACAAGGAGCACTCTCCTTCTACTGAGACACTTCTCAGTCATATACCTACTGCATAATCAAAACCATAAGGATAATCCTTCCTCTTATTTAAATAGGAAAACTACTAATAATTCAAACAATAAACAACCGATAAAGTAGCAACAACTAACAAACAATAAAATTCCCTAACAACTTCTACAACTAGATAACTAACTAGCTCCTTCATCTAAGGCTGGTTTGATCTTTCTGGTATAAACTTTGACGGTTGTTTGTGGACCCCTAATTTCCCCAATTGTATCAGAATATTCACCATGGGAAAAACAGAATTCTCACGTGGCAGGTAAGGAAGATGTGAGGGGTGAATTGTGTTAGACATTATGATTAAATAGCAAAGAGATAGAAAGGGGAAGGCATTCAGTGACTGAGTGAGGATTTGGGGCCTTTGGGTAGGGAGGAAGCAGACCCCGCTAAGGATGTACTTAGGAATAATTTTTTGTGGTCCTATTTCTCGAAAGAAATAATTTTTTATTCATGTACTTAGGAATAATTTCTGGGCAGAAAAAAGTGTTTAATAACAATATACATTCTATGATGTGTGTATTTAATAAATAGAGAGTTTCCTTTGTTCCAATTTTCAAATCCCGATAACCCATTCTACGATGTGTGTATTATAGAGAACTTCCTATGCTGTAATGAGTTAATCCTCATATTTTCATAAAGAAATTAAAGTTCCTATCAGAATCATTGTAACCATAAAATAAACAATACGACTAAAAATACAAAAACCATCCAATTATAAGCTAGTTTTCCATTTGAATATTACAATAGCACTCAATATGAAAATAACAAACTAGAATGTCCTTGTAACAAAGTCCACTCTTTATAACCAACTTCTCAACTAACTAGATGGTCCTTGCATCACTAATCCATGAGTAAATAAAGTCCCTCACAACCATCTCTAATCTGAAGAGAAACAAATGAAATAGAGGGGAATGCTAGTGAATCAGTGAATACAAACCACGAAAATTAATACCCTCCGAGCAATCCCACCTTTTAGATTATATATCATGCCATTGGTTCCAAAAACTGTGGGTTTCCACTTTCCACCCAAACAAAAAGTCTTTACATCTAGAGATTTGACAGCCAGGTTGAGAAGCCAAGTAAGTGCAAGGAACATGGTCATCCTAATCAAGACATGATGATAAAAGAAACCCTTAAAGAGGTAGATGTTCAAACCAGAGAGTCTAACTCCTAAATTTGCACAAGAGAAATGCAATAAATTTACCACTTTCCTGTCAAAAAGAAAAAGGTCATCTGCAAAATGTAATTAGAAACATCCACCTCTCAAAAGCCACTCTCAAAGACTCGAACCTTTTATAATCCTACTCACCTCTCTCAAAATCAATCAAATCAGGACATTTACCACTCCATACCGGCTTCCTAAATGTTTTTACTCGCTATGATTTTGTTCTGCCTATCCCATCCATTCCTTTCTTTCATCCAAAAGTAGTTTCAGTCTCTATGGTATTAACCACTTGAGAATTAGAATGAAACAAGGATACGACCAATTATACAAAGGAAATATCAAACCATTTTGAAGCTTAACCTTTCAGCTGATAGTAACATTCAGTGCATAACTTAAAGTACTATGTAATGTGGCACATGTAAGATACTGCAGAGTTGAAGTTAAGAACTCTTACCATGCTTCAGCAATGAATTGAAATGCTGAGTATATAAAATTAGCATTGTAATATTGTCCAGCCACAACATAATGACATATACATCTTTTGTAAGAGAATTCCAGTAAGGTATGCAAAAGCTTGTTTTGTTCAGTAACAAGAAATAATTAAACAAAAAGACAGCCACACTGCAGCAATGACATTCACTCAAACATAAAGTCATACATACATGCAGATCATTCTGAAGCGGTGTGCCTGTCAGCATCAAGCGTTGGTTTGCATTTCGTGCAACAGACATCAGATTTTTCCACCTGAAGCTATTTTTGTCCTTCAAAGCATGTGCCTCGTCCATCAGCACACAGCTCCACCTCCAACGCTTCAGGATTTTACGATCATCTTTCTGCTGTGCACTAGAGTAAATATAAATTATAAAAATTTGATTAATATTTGAAAAAAAATTTATAAATGGCACTAAAGTATAGAGAAATAAACCTGTGCCGTTCAAAAAGTGAATAACACACAAGAAGAACGTTAAATGGGGGAGGCAATCTCGCCTTGGACAGGGAGCTCAACTCCTTGCAGTATGCTGCACGTCCAGCCCCATGATATTGAAGAACAGAAAAGGATGGGCACCACCTTTTTAGTTCCCTTTTCCAGTTTTCCAAAACAGAAGCAGGACATACTATAAGATGTGGACCAGAATCATTGTGCAAACGCTTCAACAAAGTTAAATATGTGATGGCCTGGAAGACAAGAACATTTGATACATTTCACTCTAAAAAGTCATGAATTAAAAGAAAAATTGAGACATAAACAAACAAAAAGGAGGATAACATACTTGAACTGTCTTGCCAAGGCCCATTTCATCTGCCAATATGGCTGTGTGACACATGAAATCAAATGTCAATCACAAGATTCCTGACAGTCATGCTAATCTCTAATGCACTGACTTGTATCATAATCACAATCGGAACTATTCCCCCAAAAAAAAGAAAAAAAGAAAAAATTAACTAGATATGAAACTGATAAAGTCAAATCACTATGGCATTACATAATGACGTTTCAATAAACACAAAATCAGGAGCTGCAAACGCCAAATACATAGCAAGCATACCGTTACAAAACAAAAATGCATGACCTTGACACGAAAATGTCACAAGATTGTGAAATCCATAATGAAAGATCTATCCACTCCACTCTGCCTTTTTCTTAAGTCATAGCCACAAAGCAAGCACAAACACAAATTCAGTCCCCATAATTTAAACTCAGCACGGCTTTAAAACCTTTAAACCAACACATGCCAGATTGCAAAAACCCTAATAATTAATTACCTCCTCCAATACCCTTCCGATACAACAGAAGCAAAAAATTGACGCCAACCAGCTGATACGGTTTGAGCAGAGGCTGAAAATCCGAATCCTCAGACGCACATGCAACATCAACGTCCTCCTACCAACATCACACAACACTTCACGACATGCCATTTTAGCTCAAACGAACTTCAAAATTTTAACCTAACCAACTAAACGAAAGCAAATAAAATAAAATAAACAGCAAGAAACCTGAGTTACGATTTTCACTGAAGAAGATTCCACCTCCGAATACCTCTCGCAAGCTGTCCCCGAAGAACCGAACAGTTCCCCTTTCAACTCCGCAGAGATCCTCGCGCACTTGTGCAAAGCGCTACCAACCACATCGCCCTCATTTCCTTCGTCAATCTCTTCGTCATCGGTGGACCCTATCTCCTCGTACAATTCCGCAACATTCCTATCCCTATCGCCACCACCATCATCGTCGTCCTCGTCATCGTCAATTATAAACCGCCGGCCGCGGCTCGCCACAGCGCAACCGCCGTCGTCCACATCAGCATCTTCCAGCTCGTCGAGATTTCCAGCCGAGTTTGGCATGATTTCGACGCAATCACTGTCGTCGTCGGAAACCTCGGGCTTACGGGAGGCGTAAGCGAATGACTCGATTGGTGGAGGAGAAGGAGAAGAAGAAGAAGAAGCTCGCGGTCTCTTGAGAACTCGGGAGGGTTTGAAGGAGTGGTTCTCCCATTCGTCGTCGGAGATTTCGTAGAACTCGGGCTTCATTGTGTTGTGTATGCGTCTGTATTTTGTGCTGCGTGCCCTAGAGACAGAGAGAGAGAAAGAAAGAGCGAGAAAGTGAAGGAAAAAAGTTTTGTAGTATAGAGAATAAAAATTGAAATGAGGAAAGACGCGGTATCTGAAAGCGACGAGTTTGGTGATCCTAAACCATGAACGTGTATTCTCTCGTCAATTCAACCTATTTTAGTATGATTTAGATTCTATTGCGTTAAAATACTAAAATAAACAAAATGAAATTTCATATTAACTTTACTAAATAACATTGGGTCTGACTATTTGCATTCTTTAAATGAAATTAATCAACCTTACACAAATAATAACGATAACAATATTGTTCTATTATAGTCTCTCCCAAAAGAAATTGAGGGAGAATATGAATAAGGAAAATGTGAACTAGTTTTTAAGGGAGAATATATAGGGCAGAATTGGATTGTTGATGCACAACAAGCTCCTGCAATGGTGTTTTGATTTGCAAGTGCAACAGCAGAAACTGACCTCTCTGCACAGATATTCAATGCAAAGGTATAGTCTATATTTTTGAGTAATCTCATTCAATGCAAAGTGGCTTGTTCTGTATTGTAAGAAAAATAGATATGTCTAATTTTATTTTATTTTCTCTTGCATCTTAGGGGGCGTTTGGTTGAGGGAAAAATTTTATGAATGATAGGAAAATGAGATTAGTGGGGAAATGGTTGGAAAGTGAGTTAGGTAGGAAAATATAAAAAAAGTTGTTTGGTAGGGAAAAATTTTACTGGGGAAATTAAGTAACTTTTGTAAAGTCTACGTTTAGCTTTTGGTAAAATATAGATGGGGAAAAAATATGCTATTATGAAAATACCCTTGTTTGAATCAGCCTTGCTACCCTCCCCTACCCTTCTTCTTTTTTATTAGTACATGTCTTTGGTGTCGTCTTTGTTCGTCTCCGTCGTTGTCTCCAGCTGTGGTTCCAAAATCACCTCAACCATTTGGAAAGGGACGGGTCGCGTCTGGTAACCTGAAACCGCAGGCAACTACAACTGGAATGCAGACCTATTTGTGAAAAATTGGTCAAACTGGACTTAAAAGCATATGAGTAGTTCTTCATGCCATGTGCAATATTTGCTGCTTTTTTTTGCAGAGGTACTGATGGAAAGACCATTTGGTCTATCTCTGTCTCAACTCTTGAAGTCCTTCAATTCATATTTTTTTTTCCTGATAATTACTGCCAGGTGCTGGAGTTGGTTTATGTCTATCATAACTTGGATGATACTTTGTCAGTTCTGGGACCTTCTGGCGAGCATTCAGTGTTTGAGTTCCAGAATATATCATCGAGAACTCAAGAGGGTATTTTCGGTTGAATTAATTTTGCCTTTTGCAATTTAGATGGCTTTCCACCAAAAACCACCTCCAAGATCTCTTTCTCAACAGTGTCGATGCCTTGTTTTCCTCCACCAAATGTGAAATGCCATGCAAATGGAATACATGGGTATCGTTGCAAAATCTGTCTACCAAACAGAGACAAAGTGGATGCCCAACTTCATTTGCATAGGGAAATTATAGGATATCCTCAACCAAACAGCACCTTATTGAGACGAAGGGCAATGATAATCTCCAATATAGGTAAAAAGTAAGATCAATGCACTTGTTTTTTGATAATGTTTATATACAGTGATGAAAGGGATGTTCAAGGGATCTTAAGCATTCCAGTGAACTTATTTTCCTCGTTTTATATCACTCAGCATCTCAGTGATGGCTATTAGTTTTGAACCGCAATATTAAGTATTTCTAGAAGAAACAGAAACTAGCTAGTCATCCAATGCATTGGTTTTCTTGTATGATAGATAGCAATATCTGTTTTTAAATTTTTCAACATTCATTGTTAGTTTGGCAAAGTAAATAGAAATAGTTAATTTTGTAAACACATTTTCACTTTTTGACCATTGTCCCCCTTAATTAATTAAAAATTATCACTTCGTCCTTGTACTAAAACATATGACCCATTTGTACATGTTTAACCATTGACCCATTTATATACTCGAGTATATGACCTTATACTCAAGTATCTTGCGTAAAACAGGGTATACTCGAGCACACTAATGGACTACTCGGGTATTGTTCATATTCTGGGTTTTTTGAAGCATTATTTACTCGAGTATCTAGGTGGGATACTCGAGTATCTTGCGCAGTTTTTAATAAAACTCGTTTCATTCATTCTCCCCCCATGATACCCAAGTAGATCTGCGAATGGGAGCAAAAAATTCGTGCATTCACCCTCATTGACACACTGAAACCGATCGGTGCTTCCTCCACCACCATCATTCTCGAGTTGTTCAACTGATTGAAATCTGATTTAGGTATGTTTTTTGGGTTTTTTTATGAACCCTAAATGAAATGCATGTGTTTTTCCTCGAAATTTTTCTTTGTTTGTTTGGTTTTTGGGTGATTGGAATGGCTACATTGTTATGAAATGGAGTTGTGGAGGCAAATTTATGAACCCTAGCCTTTTCATTTTGGGGTTTTTTCTTTTGGTCGAATTCGTCATTGTTTTTTTGTTATTTTGTGTTTTGTGTTGTTGATTTAACATTTGTGTTTTTTCAGGTTTGAAATTGTAAAAAATGACTGATAAACATTCTTCCAAGAAAGTTGTGACCACCGAGTGGAGGACAAAGCGCCAACATGACAGGTCCTCATCCTTTCAGCCAAAGCCAGCTGTAGAGGAGGCTTATGACATGCCATTCAGATATTTATTTCAGAATGACCAGGTGGAGCACACTTGGTTTGTGAAGTCCTTTATGAGCCGTGCCATATATGGGCCAGATTCACTGGATTTGGTGTTCTTCATCATGCAAGGGTTCCACATTGTGACACTGCTTGAACAAACACATCTCATAGTGCTTGCAGAGATAAAGTGCCTGTATTCAGAGGTTATTGTGAGAGCGTTATACCAAAACCTCAACTACTCATGGGGCAAGCTAACTTCCCACAGAATTGATATTGTCATGACTACCCCTATGTGGACGGAGATCCTGGGATTTGACTTTGATCCTCTACCAGACGCAACCATGTACGACAGAGACTCTTATGCTATTTTATGGTTATGATCGGGAGGCGATCCTCGTGGAGACCCGAAGTGATGCAGAGTCTGGCCAATTTGTTCAGTATCTTGTGAGTAATCTATCTGTGCCTTCCCGCATATTGCATTATGTCATGACACACATTTTGTTCTAGCGCCCACATATTCATGCGAAGGTGCTGGAAGGTGATTTCGTTATTATGTGGGCCATCTTTCACCATACTAGGGTAAACTGGAGGCATTATATATGCATACTGATGCATAAGTCTACGAGGGCTAGATTCGAGGCACTTCTATATGCATACTTGGTGTATAAGATATTGCATAGATTTGTGTGCTATTCATACTGAGACAATGAAGACTCACACTGGTTGGAATTCCAGGTTCGGCGAACGTCTACTGAAATAATATAGAAGACTGCACTTGTGCCACCCGAAGTTTGCCTTCACAATGATGCTGAGATGGAGGTTGCAATTGCTGCTGATGATGATGTAGTTCCTGCTCCTAAGGTTGGTGGTGTACCTGCACCTCTGCCCAACATCCAGCCACCTCCTCCTCCTGCTCTTGAGGGTGGATGGACCATTGATGATGTTATGACATCCATGTATAACTTGACGTGGGATATGAGTAAAGTTACAAGATTCATTCGCACCTTGATCATTAAGTTTAGGAGATTTAGACAGGCATAGAGTATATGACAGACTGATATGGAGTCGAGGGTGTGACGCCTGGAGGCAGGGTATAGACAGGGTTCATGCCTTGTGGAGGAGTCTATTGCTACTGTAGTTGAGTCCCCTGCTAAGGAGGAGGGGGGTGATGAGGACGAGATCAAGCACTCAGATACCAGGCATTAGGGCTTTTTTATGTATTTAGGATTTATTTGGACTCACTCAGAATCTTCATGTATTTAGGGTTTATCATGTACTTGTAATGTATGTAATGAAGTGGTATTAATGAAATGATTGCTTTTTAATGGATCCTTGACTTTATGTTTACATTTTTCCATAAATTACCGCTTAAAAGTGATTTGAATGACAACTGACTAATTTTACAAGCGCAAACCCCCTCCCCAAGTTCAAATGCATTAGACTATGTCAATTGAGTCAAGTTTTGGCCATTGTTTGATTTAAATGACAACTTGGTATGTCGAAACCAAGTTTCCTGATTCATTGTTGTATACTATTACGCACTTCGGACTGTCCGTAACCATTATGTAGCCAATAACCCCTTCCCCAAGTCATAATGGATGAGTACATGGTGTTACAAACTCTTCCGGATCAATTTGACATTCTTAAACCTAGTATTAAAGTTGTTTTCGATGTGACGTAGGCAAAACACATGATAGCAGCTGGAGGCTGCCAACCAGTATAAGCTCTGACCGCCCTTATGATGTCGGTAGACAATCAGATATTAGACAAATACCCACCTCTGTGTCACATGAAAACGTAGAAGACTAAGAAACCATGACCAATCTTTCAACTTCTCACATGGAAGAACATCAGCAAAGGCAATTGGCAGCACATATCCACCTACATCTTGTGATGTCGCAATCAAAAGAGTTCCTATGTATTTCTCATACAAATGAGTGCCATCAATTTGAAGTATCGGCTTACATAATTTGAAGGCCTCAATGCACTGGTGAAATGTCCAAAAAAACCCTATGAAAGATGACCTTGTCATTGTAAAACCGACGTTTGTCAAAATATTCATGTGTATTAAGCTTGAAGACAGAACCCACAACACATTGCGTCATGTACGTTAGCCAATTGGGCGAGAATGCATACGATTTTTCCCAGTCACGAAATAACTTCAAAATGCCCTTCATTTTTTCCTTCTAAGCCTTCATATATGTTATTTTGTGTCCATACAGATATTGTCATCTCTTGAATCAGAACTGGTTTTAAAGTTGTATCTTCCTTTAACATACCTATAAAAAATAAGCAAGTTACCAATA